GCTAAAGATAGAGAGATTATGAAGATTAATTTTAAATTTTTAAAAGTGAGAGATTTTGTGCAATAACTATCTCAAAATTTTTCTTAAAAAATTATATGTTTTAACATTGGCTACCTTTGGTGGATTAAGAGGATAAGGCACCATTTGGGTATTGCATTTTTTATATTCTAAAAACACTTTCTCACTTTTAAGATGTGAAAAATTATTTAGGTGTAGTTTAATAAGATTAAATGTGCTTTTTGAAAGTCTTTTTAGGATAAGCTAAATGTGCTTTCTTATCTTAAAAGCTTCATTTTGTTACTTTTGAAAAATAGGATCTTATTTAACTATATTACCTCAAATTTAATATCTTATTTTTTATTTAAAAAATAATTAATTTATTAAAAATATAATTATCATTTAAATAAGAATAATTAGATATCAAGTTTTTATTATTATAAATTAAATAATTAATATTTAGCATTAATGTATAACAAAAATTATAAATCTTCATCATATTTTTTAAAATTATAAATTAAAAAGTATAAATAATTAGAGATTAAGTTTTTAGCATTATAGATCAAATTTTATGTTATTTAAAATCTTTATTATATTTTTTAAATATTTTAAATATATTATATTTGTATAATAAAATTTATAAATTATTGTAAATTAATGTCCTTTTTGTTAATTGTACATTTAAAAGTACATTTCATAATTATAATTCAAATAATTTTTAATATACTAAATTGACTTTTAAAAAAATATATTTAAATATAAATTTTATTATAAAAATTAAATTTTATCAAATAAATTTTTATCAAATTAATTTTTATTAAATAAATTTTTAATAAATTAAAAACCAAACACATAGTAAGTGAATTTGGAATCCAGAAGTGTCTGATATTTTATTCAGTCAAAAAGGGCTGTGAACTACTGAGTAGACAAATTTTTTTAACATCGTCAAATTATGTGGGACCACAGCCAAAAAAGACAAAGTTCTGGCAGTTAAATATGTACTTCACTTAAATTATTAAATAATAATGATAATTATATTCAAATGGTCATGCCATTTACTAAATTATATTTAATCATGATAATTATTAAATGATAATTTTGGAAAATTAAACAACTTTGTTAAAGTCATACTCTTTTTCGGTAACTATGTATTCATAAGTGATTTTGATTAATAAAATTTAGACAAAACCAACCTTCTCAAAATCACTTATTAATAAAAAGCATCTAAAAGAAATTACAAGGCACCAACTAAGGGTGACCAAAACCGAATAAAGCCGATCAAATTAAATCAATTCAAACTAATCCAATTAAAATTAAATTAAATTGATTATTAGTAAGGTTTGGTTTGGTTTTATAAATTAAAAAAAATCGAATAGTTTGGTTTAAATTTTGGTTTTTCTTCCTTGAAATCTTAACCAAACCTTTTTTATATTTTTAAATGTATTTTTTATAATTAATATTGGACTATTAATTATTGTTTATTATTTTTAAATTTTGACCTCAATTAAAGTCCAACACAAGCCTAAAATAGAATTTCTAACCCTACTTTTTTTCAATTTTGCTAATTATTTTTTCAGTAAAAGATGGTCCAAATTAAGAAGAAGTGTATTGCATTTGCCATTGCTGATTAAGGAGAGTAAAAAAATTTCATAACTTGCTACTAAAACATATTTTCCTTTTATTGATTTCAAACTAGTTTCTTTTTATTATAGACATTAAGAAAGTTTGTAATAAAATTTAATTTGGGTTAACGTTACTTACAATGCATATACTCTAATGTTTATTAGTAACAAAATTTGAATATTTTTATTTTTAATATAATATTTATTTCTATTCATAAATAATAAACTTAAAAATGTGACTTGATTTTGGAATATGAAAGGAAAAAAAGAGTCAAGAAAATATTAAAACTTGATCTATGTATAAACCAAATTGACTTTAACAAAAAACCTATCAAGTGTCATTCTTTGTACAAACTGATTGATTTGGTTTAGTTTATGTTTTGATCAAAACTAAACTAAACCATACATTTGATCACCCTTAGTACCAACATCACTTTTGATCAATGTCACTTTTAAAAGTCATGATGTTCAAAATCTTGTTTAGTGATAATTATTATATTGATAATTATGAAAAATTAAACAACTTTATTAAAATATGTCCTTTTTAGTAATTATACATTTATAAGTGATGATTATACAATCATAATTGATTTTGATTACCAATTTTCTCGAAATCACTAATTAATAAAAAAATTATCTAAACATAAATTATGACTAACTAATATCACTTTTGATCAATGTCATTTTCAAAAGTTCTTATGGTCTAAAATTTACAACTTCAATCTAAACAAGCACGGCATCTTGAATAACTTGTTTATAAAATAAAAGTCATTTTTACTCAATAATTGGAGTTGATATATGACTTGGGCTCTTTATTTAAGTTTATTTAGGGATATTTATTTATCGTCTAAAATTATTTTGAATGTAATTTTTTATCTTTTTTATTTGAAATATGATCAGAAGACTCTATTCTCTAACCCAATAAAAGGTTTACTCTATGTATTTTTGGATATGGGCCCAAGCGATGTTGGGCCAGACATTTTTCAAATTGTCAAATTTGTAATTTGGGCCTCGGTGCAAAAATTTCATATTACAAAAGATGGTTTTATGACTTTCTTGTAAAAGAAACAAAAATTAATTAATCCAATAATTAATAATACTCGTTATTTGTCATCTTTTGTTTATCAGTGTGTTGAAATTTGAAAACGTTGGTCAACATTAGAGTGTTCCATATAGTACCATCCAAAAATCGACTAGCTTACTATTAAAAAAAAACACATTAATCTTAACAAAAAAATTAAAAAAAAGAAATTCATCAACTATATATCATGAAGGAAATCCAATTTCTCTTCTTCTGCTGATCTTTTCAGTCTACTGACTGCCTTTTCAACCTATGAAAAAAATAACGTTATTAATTTCTACATAGAAAAATTTTGAATTCAAAAATAATATGTGCATAAATATACACTCAGAGACCAGAAAATTATGCATTTTTATGTGAGGTCACGTGAAAAATTTTCAATTGTGCAGAACTCTCAAATATTTTTGCACGACTATTGTGCGATCATGCCCCACCACGCGCCCTAATCAAGACATAATTAAATCAAAGATTATACCAAAATGAGTAATTAAGAATAGTTAATTAATAAAAGAATGAGAAAGAAATGGACCTAGTTTGCGCCTGCTATCCAGCATTTTTTGATTTAGACGGTTCATATTTTAGGTTTTAATTTTATTGTATTTTTATTACTAACTATGTTAATATTTTTTTTGGGAAAAACCTACTGTTAAAGAGTTTTTTTTTACTGTGTGCTGATTTTTTTAAATTAAAAATAACATAATTTTTAGCCTCTCAAATTTACTTTGATTATCAATTTGGCCTTTGAAGTTTAATTTTTATCAAAAAATCCTCTAAAATTTTTATTGAAGAGTTCAAGCTTTTATTTACTTATTAACCTTTTATGTTTTCAATGGGGATTATATAGCACGAAGTTTTAAACAACTGAAATGGGAAACAATTTAAAAGGACTAAAATAGTAAATTAAAATTTTGATATTAATATAATTTAAATTTCTATAATTAATCAAATATATAGGTTAAATAATATATTTTACTTCTTAAATAAATTTTAAAAAATTTAATAATATTATATACAACTTTATTAATAATTTAATTTTTAAAAATAATGTCCTTTATGGTAATTTTTATAATTAAAATTGATTCTAACTAAATCATTCAAATATCTTCAATTATGTTAAAATTAATTTTAAAAAAATAATATTTAAACAGATTGTATTACAATATAATCAATTATAATTAAAATCAATCATGTTAATCAATTTTTTTTATAATCATTTATATCTAATTGAATTCTAAACAAACCCAAAGTCATACTCTTTTTGGTTAATTATATATTCAAAAGTGATTTTGATTAATGAAATCAAGACAAAATCAACTTTCTCAAAATCACTTATTAATAAAAAGTATCTCAAAGAAATTATAATGCACTAACATGACTTTTGATCAATGTCACTTTTAAAAGTCATGATGATCAAAATCTTGTTTAATTATAATTATTATATTGATAATTATGAAAAATCAAACAACTTTATTAAAATATGTCCTTTTTAATAATTATACATTTATAAGTAATTATTATACAATCGTAACTGATTTTGATTACCAACTTTCTCCAAAATCACTTATTAATAGAAAGTATCTAAGCAAAAATTATGACTAACCCACATCACTTTTGATCAATGTCACTTTCAAAAGTTTTAGTAGTCTTAAATCTTATTTGTACAATTTCAATTTAAACAATCACCAAATCTTGAATCACTTATTTATAAAATAAAAGTTATTTTTGTATAAAAAAAGTCATTTTTACTCAATCTAATTGGAGTTGATATATGACTTGGGCACTTTATTTAAATTTATTTAGGAATATTTATTTTTCATCTAAAATTATTTTAAATGTATTTTTTGAATATATTTATTTTAAAATATGGTCAAAGACTTCATTCTTTAACCTAATAAAAAGTTCACTCTATGATGGCTCTATCCTCTCATGGCATGTTCCCAAAGGTATGTTTGGTTGGGGGGAAGGGGAGAAGGGGAGCTCTCCCCCAATTTAGGGAGGGGGGGAGGTTTTGGAGAGGCCTCCACCAAACCAAAAGAGGGGAGGGAAGCAGGCTACCCTCCCTCCCCCAACCAAACATATTTAAAAGTTAAAATTTTTCACGCATCATATATTTTTGGATGTGGGCCCAAGTAATGTCGGTCTGACAACTTTCAAATGGATAAATTATGTAATTTGGGCTTGGTGCAAAAATGCCATATTGCAAAAGATTTTTATGACTTTCTTGTAAAAGAAGTAAAAACTAAGTCTGATTAATTAATATGATAATATTCGTTATTTGTTACCTTTTGTTGATCAGTGTGTTGAAAACGGTGGTCAACATTAGAGAGTGTTCCATATAGTGCCATCCAAAAATCGACTGTCTTACTATATTAAAAAAAAACACATTAATCTTAACAAAAATTAAAAAAAAAATCAGCAACTATATGTCATCAATGAAATCCAATTTCTCTTCTTCTGCTGATCTTTTCACTCGAGTAACTGCCTTTTCAACCTATAAAAAAAATAACGTTATTAATTTCTACATAGAAAAAATTTTGAGTTCAAAAATAATATGTGCATAAATATACACTCAGAGACCAGAAAATTATGCATATTTATGTGAGGTCGTATGGAAAAATTTTCAATTATACAGAACGCTCAAATATTTTTGTACAATTATTTAATGTAAGGTATTATTGAATATCTGTTCATTCATATTTAAGCATTATTGAAACAAATAAATATTAGTTCTCCCATGGTAATTTTTTATGCATAACATTAATTTGAACGAGAAAACTTATTTAAAAATTATAAACTTATGTGGATTAGCTATCTTTAATTATGACTAAAGTTTGACAATGAACTTTCTTAAATTTTAAACTTCAACAGATTGCCAATATGTTATTATTTTATTAAGAAAACCTGAATGTCTAAATGGTTGGTCACAATATTTTTTTTATAAATATAATTTAAATTTCATTCGTGCAAATAAATAAACAATGATAATGATAATGATAGTGGTGGTGATGATGGTGACTATGAATAACTAATTTTTTTGTGAAAATAAATAATAATGTCATAAATGTACAAGTAATTAAGGTCTTTGTGATGAGAATTGCATACCTCAACATCCCAATTTGTTCTGGCGGTAAGTATGATAAGAATGAGGGTCTGTAGAAAAATACCAGCGATCATGCCCCACCACATGCCCTAATTAAGACATAATTAAATCCAAGATTAAACCAAAATCAACAAGCAATTTAGAACAAGTTAATTAATAAAAGAATGAGAATGAAATGGACCTAGTTTGCGCCTGCTATCCAGTTTTTTTTTTTAATTTAGATGGTTCATATTTTAGGTTTTAATTTTATTGTATTTTTATTACTATTTTTTTTTTGAAAAACTACTGTTAAAAAGTCATTTTTTTACTGTATGTGCTGATTCTTTTTAAGGTAAAAATAATAAAATTTTTAGCCCCTTAAATTTATTTTGATTATCAATTTGGCTCTTGAAGTTTAATTTTTATCAAACAATTTTCTAAAATTTCATAAATATACACAAATATTAGTCCTTAAGCTGCTATTTCTCCATCAAACCATAAAGACTAATTACATATAATTTTAAAACTTCAAGGACTTGATTAATAAAGACTAAACTTTAAGAATCAAGTTAATAATTGAGTCAAATTTGAGGGATGAAAAATAAATCTTAGAATTAAGTTATTGCCCAAAAAAAGTGTGAACTTACTGCTACTCCCAGACTGGTTTTAAAGCCAAGAACACAGCCAATTGGAAGACCAATCACATAATAGCAAACTAAATTTACATAAGCCACCAGAGCTTGCCATCCACTCCCAATTGCCACTCCTATATTACAACACAATACATTAGAGCATTTACTATTAATATATACCTAGTACATAATTCGAACAAAATATGAAAATATGAACAGTAAAATTATAAGAGTAAAATGACAAATTTGCCCTTGAAACTATAGAGCAAGGATTGTCTAGACCCTATACTCATTTTTAGTACAATATTTTCTTTCAACATTTTAAAATAGTATAATATTGTTTCTATAATTAACAAATTTTAATTTTAATAGTTAGTCCACCGAAAAAGAAAACTACTAAAAGGACTAAGAAATTATAGAAAATGATCTTATAGTTTAAAGAAAAATTTGCTCTTAACAAAAAATTATAATTGCTCAACAACTAGGGAACTAAATCAATGGCCTCGAGCTTGGAAACTTAAGCATGCAATTGCTTTAAAAACTCATGGGATCATACCCCTCTTGACAAAAATGATTAGTTGAAATTGAATGTGAGTTTGGGATTTTATAGTTAATTAGTTGTTACCTGAGAGTATAGGTTGAATGCCATTCAAGAGAACGGAAATGGCAAGCAAAGGGGTGAGGTTGGAGACAGCTAGAATGACTACAGAGTCAGTGGTGAAGAGTTTGCTCATTTCAACCCTAAATATCAAAATCAGTGCGCAAAAAACTATGCTGATTAACAAGCTTGTCCCGTTCACCACTATCACTGCAAATCTTGCCACTTTTGGATGAGCTGCTCCAAGTTCATTACTCACTCTCACACTGCACACAAGTATGAGTGGATTTGAGATGATGTGGGAAGTTGACAAAGTTAGACTTAATAATTAATATATAATAAAATTGAAGATTCTATAAACAAATTAACCTGGTTGCTGCACACAGACCCAGCATGAAGTTTATGTCCCAGTTCCAGTAGTTCATACTGAAAGTTCATTGCATTCATGTAAAGTGTTCATTAGATTGCATGCTTCATTTGAAACCCAAAAAAATTGTGATATATATGGGTATATTTGGTTTCTGTTATGATTTTTGGTTTTTAAAAACTGTTTTATACTATAGTTTTTAAAATTATTTTTAAAACAAAATGAAATGAAAATTTGTTTGGTTATGTCATTTAAAAAACAGTTTTAAAATTAAAAAAATAGATTGACAGTGATGGTTATAAGCAGTTAATAGTAGTGATTAATAATAAAAATTGATCAAGGTAACTATAATTTTTAATAATCAAATATAATATATTTGAAAAACAAAACAAGAACAACTTAAAGTTGTTTCTATTTTTTGTTTTTAGAAACAAAAGAATGAAAACAATTTTAGAAACAAATACATGAAAAACACTTATCTAGATAAATTTTTAAATTCTTCTATATTCAAAAATGAAAAATAGTTTTTAAAAACAAAAAATAAACAAGCTCTATATAAATATATATGTATTTTTTCTGTTTTGTTTTTGGGGTTTGAAGGATAACATACCATATGGAAATAGAATCCAGTGCAACTGTAGGGTCTGGTAGAAGTCCTGATAAGAGCACAAGTCCCTGGCTGTACCATATCTCCAAACTGCATTCACAATGAAATAAGAAAGTTGTGTTAGATTTAGTTTATTTCATATACTTATTTTGATTTTGTGTGGTTTGATCTGTTGTTTGTTGTTGTATTCCATCATTTATCACGTTACATGAGACAATGCTATCTTGAAGATTTGATAAGAAAAATATAACATGACAGACTAATAAGTGTGTGCTTGGGATGGCGGTATTGTACAGTACATAGGTTTGGCAGAAGCAACAAGCTAAACATAAACTAAAAATATTGGGGTCTTTTTATAATAGTCCTCACCTCACTCTCCTCGGAGTCTTTTGGATGGAGCTCCAACATTTCTCATGGAGCTCAAGCCGACTTTCTCCAAGGTGGTACTTGAGTTATTTTTTACCCCACCAAAAGATCTTTTAAACATTTTCAGTTAATTCAATGATTCCAGATTTAATCTCAACTTCCTTAAGGTGATAGAAGTTGGAGGTTTCACTCTGTAAAGGTTTCAAAAGATCTCTTTGGTGAGATGAGAAATAATTTAAGTATCACCTTGAGAAAAGCCGGCTTGGGCTTCGTAAAGAGTGTTGGAGCCTAGTGTAAAAGAACCTCTGGTAGGATGGAGTGAAAACTATTACACTTTTTACTATTGACTAAAATGTGAGTCTTTGTCTAAACTAAATCACGCTATTCATGACTTGTGAAAAGTACAGCTTTCTTTAATCTATAGACATAGACATTAAATTAAAAACTCAAAGTCTATACTCAATAGAAATTCTAATAGGAGCCACACAAAGACATGAGAAAATGATAATAAAGTTAAAAAAATAAATTCATGATGATTAGGTCTCTAATAAAATTATAAAAAATTATAAATATTGATTCAGACAATTACAAAATTATATTTATATTTAAAATATACATGTCTTGTTTGTAATTAAAACTCTTCAATTTGTAACTATTTGAATTGATATTTGCAAGTTATTTAAATCAAGGACCTACTTGTTATTAATTCCCTCTTCTAAGACTTAATTGTCATTAATTCTCTTTCTTGGAACTTTACTATCATTTCTCCAAAGGCATTCACTCTAATTCATGAAGGATACATACCAGAGCATGACAGCAGAAGCAGCAGTGAGCTTGAAGTAAGGCCAAATACCAGAGAAGGCTTTTATGGAGAACCCAGTCCAAGTCTCCTTACATGATGGGCTCAGAACAATGTAAAGCCCATTAATGAACACAAAAAGCCACCATGAAAAACTGAGAGTCAAAGCAGCCCCAAGGAGCCCAAGGCCCAAAACAAAAACCACAACCCAAGACAGCAATATGTGAACCAAAAACACACCCACAGACATATAGGCCAATGGGTTCACTATGTTTTGGGCCTGCAAGAACCTTTGCATTGGGCAGCTCAATGCAAATGCATATAACTGAGGGATGATCCCACGGGCAAAGATTTGGCCCTCTTCGGCTATGTCTTGGTCCTGGCCCATGGCCTTCAGAATTGGGCCTGAAAACCAGTATAAGAATGTGAGAAGGAAAGCTGCTCCTAAGTGAAGTACAATTGCTCTTTGGCATATAATTCCCATTGCTTTGTATTTCCTAGCTCCATATGCTTGTCCACATACTGTTTGTACGGCACTAGCCATACCTATCTGCAAATATTACACATGTGACACTGATATTATGAATTCATAAATCATCTAGAAATGAAAGTGAAGACCTTGCATTTAAATTTATGTCTTAAGCTAAACCTAGTTAACAATTTTGCTCAATCAAAAATAGGGTTATAATTTTAAAAAATAATACTTCCTTGATTACTTAATATAAGTTAGTTGTAGCCTTGATCTTTTAAGGAAAAATGTATAAATATTTTGAATTATACTTTTAATGAAATGCCTTATTAAATGTTTTAATAACAAGAGTAATTGAAATTTTAATGAATCATTTTTAGAGGATAAATAAAACAAGTGTATAGTTGAAAAAAAAATTATAAAGACTACCCAATATTTTATATTTTAGACTAAAAAATTTTTTAAAAAATATCTCATATTATGTTATGGGGGTATTTGGTAACAAAGTTTTTCTCATCTTATTGCTTATACGAAGATAAAAGAAAAATAATTTATATTCTTTTCATCCCAATTCATAAGATATTATTAGAGGTGATTTGGTATTATAAAATATAATATACTTTCATAAACGTAAATTTTCATTAATTATATTATCTTTCCCTCCTTATTATATTTTTCTCTCTTTATTTAATATTTCACAAGTGAGATTATATTAGATGAATGGTATTTTTAAAAGTTTAGACTCATATTTTTTAAAATTAATATTATAAAATATATTTAATAAATTTTATCAGAATACTTAATTATATTAAAAAAAAACTTCTAAACTAAGAGAGAGAGAATAGTATCCAGGACGACGGAAATGACAGAGGGTTGTTGAACTTGCGTCACGTCACGAAGTACTGAGAACTTGAATGCGAGTGACGTACTCCACGTGGAGGCTAACAGTTTCTCCGTTATTAATTTATTAAGTAGATACAAAAGTCAACAAGCACCTAACTAGTAAGATGGCAGAAATGGTATCAGTCCCATGTACTCCCAATTTTTTAAAGAAAATAATTTTATACCAATAAAAAAATTAATCTTAAATTTTATTTTTCTAATCTTATTTATAACATGTTTCATTGTAACTAAATAACACCTTAAAAATCTATCTAACAATTTAATAAATTTTTAAATTTAATTTTATTAAATATACATATTTTAATGGTATATTTTTTTTCTTTTTAACATTCAATAAAAGGCAAAAATAAAAATTTTATATAAAAATTTAATAATATAATTTATAAATAAGAAAAAAAAAACCTTCTCCCTCTTTTTCATGAATAAAATCAGAGGGAGTAGATCATATTCTCACCAGTTTTATTAAGTTATTTTAACAAATTTCATTGAAACACAAGAAAAAAACTTTAAAACTTATTAAATTTTTATTATAAAATTTTAAATTTATCTCTATTAAATATATATATATATATATATATATTAATAACATATTTTATCACAAAAATATTTAATAAAATGTAAAAAAAAATTAAAATGAAAAATTGATAACATATCTTATAAATGTAATATTATATATTATTTTTTTTATTCTATAAATAGAAACGAAGGAATAAAAAGAATCGAATTCAAATCAAGTAATTATTAGCAAAAAGATGGTGGGGAAATGATCAACAGTACCATGATTCCATAAGCAAGACCTTGAATTCCAACGCTGGCTATGGAGGCTCCGGCAAGAGCGACGGTGCCGAGGTGGCCGGTGAACATGAGACTAGCGAAGGTGAGCATGTAAGTGAACAAGGACACCACAATGGATGCCCCAGAGAGATGCCATAGAACCTTAGATTCCCACCCAACCAGCCTCACCCATCCTCCAATCCTTATCCTCCCTCTCTCCAGCATCTCCTCCACCTCGTCCGCCGACATTCCCCGGGCAGCCGCCGCCGCCGCCGCTCTGCCGCCTGCCCCGGTCCCATTCTGCTGCTCTATCAGTGGCTGGTTATTGTCATTCTCTGATGTTGGACCCATGCTTCCTTGCTCACAACGCAATAATTAAGCTCACTCTCACGGGTGATTAATTTCCACACTACTAATTAGTGTTTGTGTTTGTGTTGTAATGATTATGTGCTTATTTATAATACCACAGATATAATAATTATTCATCTGTTTCTTTTGGAAAGTTTTAAAAGTAATCTTAAAGCCATACATCCCTCATTCTTTCCTTGTGTTACTTTAGTTAGAGTAATCTGTCGGTCTTCGCCACGAGACGACTAGTAGTTGGAGCTAACAAATAACAACTTAATTTATTTCATTATTATAATATTATAAGAGTCACGAAGTACTTTATGCTTATGTATATATTTATTTAGTTATTTATTTTTTATTTTTCTAGATAAAATTTTGAGATAATATAATTTTTAGTTCACAAATTAACTTTATCTCAATTGTCAATTTAATTCTTGAACTTTAAATTAATATAGCTCAATCTTTATAATCTATCAAATTAAGAAATCACGAGTACTAAGTTTTAGAGAGTTGAAAACTATTGGGGCTAATTTGTTCTAAATCAAGAAATTATAAAGATTGAGTTATTTTGATTTAAAATTTAGGAACTAAATTTTGACCAAAAGATTAAGGATTAAAAGTTATATTTTTTTAAAAAAAATTCAAAAAAGAATTATGGTGATCTCATATATAGTATTTTTGAATTATATTGAATAGGTTCTGTATTTATTGAAATAAATTGATATTACATAGAAAAGGGCTTGCATGAAAATATTATTAGGGTTTGTTTGGATATATGTTTGAGAAAAATGATTATGAAAATATTGAGTAATATGTCTGAGAAAATTAATTATGAAAATATTGATTAATATAATTGATTTTGAATATAATTAATTAAATTATATGGTATAATTGATTTATAAAATTAATTTTAAGTATAATTAAAAAGTAGAATTAAACCAATTAAAATTGATGTGTGTGGCAATGACTCTTGTCAATTAAGCAAGTAGTTGGCATTTGAATCTCAATTCTTGTATATGTAGAAACTTAATTGGGAGAGAGCTATCATTTGCCCTTGGTATTTTGGGAGAAATAATCTCTATAGTAAGTAAAGGCTATAGTAGAGTTGGAAAATATGTAAAACCATAATTTTGTAAAAAAAAAATCCAAACACTCCGATTACGTACCAATATAAATCATGAACTCAAATTCATAGTTTTACTAAAAATATTCAAACACCCTTATTACATGTCAAAATCAATTATAAATCTAAAATTATATTTTTAAAAAAATATTCAAGCACACTTGTACATGACAAAATTAATTATAAGTCTAAAATCATGTTTATTTTCTAAGATATTATTACTTACTTTTCAATTATACTTTTTTAAAAATTTATAAAAAAATTATATAAACTCTATTATAAATCATGATTTTTGTTCGTAACTGATTTTCATATATATCGAAATGTTTAGGACTTTTTTAGAAAAAATAATTTTAGGTTAATAATTAATTTTGACATATAATAGGAGTGCTTAAATATTTTTTTAAAAAATTATGATATTTAGTTCATAATTAATTTTAATATATAATAAAAATATTTGAATATAATATTTTTACAGAAGTATAATTTTAACTTTTAATTAATTATTTGGACATCACAACCATATGTCCATATCCATCCCATCTATTATTACTAATCTTTTATAAGACAAAATGCACAACCATCCCATCCTTTCTACTTTCTGATATCAGTCAGGTGATAAACAGATTTTTCAGTAATGTTTGTGCGTTTTGTCTTTTCTTAATAGTAACAAATCAATTTGTAAATTTTGAAGATACATGAGATTGAATTGTAAATACAACGGATTGAATCATATATATCATTGAAGTTATGATTTAAAAAAAAATTAAATTTAAGAAGTCTAGTAAATTTGCCAAATTTAATTCATAAATATTAAAGTATTAATATTATAAGAGGTTGACTTGTAAATATAAAAAGTTTTAATTACAAATCATGAATATTTACTTGTTATTATGTGACATATGACATGCAAATATTAAAGTATTATTCACTTCATTAAAAAATAAATATATTTTTTAAAAATATAATGTATTTTTTAAGAGTTGAATGTTAAAAAATATTAAAACATTTTTTAATGTTTTAAAATATAATTAATACGTTATTTATTTAAAAATATCTTTAATAAATAAATTATTTTATGTTTGTTTTAATGTAAAATATCCTATTAATTAAAAATAAATATAAAAACATAATATTAATTTAAAAATAATTAACTAATAAGATTTAATTAAAGAAGCTTTATATTTTTAAATAAAAATAATATTTAATTTTAATCAATATTTTTTTGAAAAAATTAATCTTTAATCCTTCAACTTTTAACTTACTTATAACTCAATTTCTTATGTATGACTCGCTGTGACTCAATCCCTCAATTATGACTTACTGTGACTCAGTCCCTTAACTTTTGATTCACCTATAATTTGGTCCTTATTTTTTAATTTTTTTAAAAAAATTCTTATCAAATGAAAGGGATAAAAAAATGCTCATATATTATTTTAAAATATCTTCATCTTGCTCATTTATATGAGATATAAGTTGACATAAAAAAATTAATCAAAATTAAGGAACTAATTTGTAAGTGATTCAAAAATTGAGGAATTGAGTTATAAGTGAGTTATAGTTGAAGAGTTAGGTTATAAGTGATTTAAAAGTTGAAGGATTAAAAGATTAATTTTTCTTAATTTTCTTAACCAATCAACGCTGGCTAGTGATCGGCCGATGACTGGCCACCACCTGTCAGCTAGACCTGCGGTGCGCCGCCCTACCCCAACAAACACCCACCCTCCTATCCGCTTCACGTGCTTCACGCCTGACAAATGCTCCAACTTGCTACGTTTCAGCATTTTCTCGATCGATTTTGCATTTTGTTTTCAAGGCTTTAAGTTCAAACTTTCTTAATATAACAATAATATTATTTTGATTTTAATTATAAATTATTTTTAACATTTTTTATTAGAATTAATTTTTTTAAAAATTATTAGTTTTGTTTTAAAATTTAATAAGTTATTAACTTTATTTTTATTAAATATATATACTTTAATAATATATTTTTTTTATCAATAGTTAATGAAAAGTAAAAAAATTTATGATAAAAATTTAATGATATAATTCATAAATAAAAAAAATTTCTTTCTTTTCCATATATAGGATTGGAGGGAGTAACTGAAAGAAAGAAAGAAAGAAAGAAAAAAATAAAGGAAGAAAAAGCAAGAACCATCGTTTTGCTGAACTCTTTAGATTGGGTTGCAAGTTTTGCAGAACCATAAACTCATTAATTAATTGCCTTAATATTTGAACTCATGTCTTTGTTTTTTTTTTTTTAATCTCAAAAGACAAGTCCTAAAACCTCCCGAGTCCCGATATCTCTCACAACGAAGAAGAGTATTCCAATCTGTACATTAAGTGTGGTTGCAAAATTTTAAAGTAGAAAGAGATTCTCCCAAGTGTCAGAGTCTCACTGAGACAAGAGAGGGAGAGATTCTCGCAATAATTAATTATTGTTTGAAAAGTTTAGCGCGAAATTTGACGTGTTTGATGATGTTTTACATTTAGCGGTTTAAATTACTCTTTATATCATTCCGCAAGGGATTTTTAAAGTTGATTTGATATTTGAAAATATCAAATGTTTGGAAATTTTTTTTATTAATGATGATTATTGTAATATTACATTTCATTATTTTAAAATATAAAATATTTGAAAAAAAGTAATTATATTTAATGAACTTCATTGATACATATAACTTCACTAAATTAACTTATAAATTAAGATGGGGGAGTATTTGACAATTTTAGCTATTCCTTTTGATCCATAGCATATAACATTTTCTAAAAATTTTATTTGTTAAAAAAATAGGGCATTCGATAGTTTTTATATTTTTTTAATTGTACCTTTAGTTTATTTATTGTTGCTTTTTAAAAAATGATCAATTAAAATTTTAATTGTAATTATTAAAGCACTTGTATATAAATGATAATATAATTGGAAAGGTGCACAATTTTTTAAATACTAATATTTTAACTATTTTTGTAAAAGTGTGAATTAGTTATTAATGTCTTATATTGTGAACTAGAGAGAGTACTTCACTAGGATTAAGGAAAATATTTAAAAGTAGTTTTTTCATTAAAATACTAAAAACTTATCACTATCTTTAAGATTACCCTCTAATCAAAATGAAGCTTCCATAATCAAGTGAGGGAAGTAGAAGTTGAAACCCAAATTTTACACTTTTGGTATGCTTAAATTGGCTTCCTCTTGTAAGTCACTTTTATCAAATTGATGGAATCGAGTTCCTCACCTAGCCAAATGCAACTCAGTTCCACTTCCACCAAAGGTTCAAGTTCAACTATTTTGCCCAATTGCCATCTCTCTGTGTTAATCAATTCATCACATGCACTTTGATTAATCACCAATTGATCTCTCGATCTCAAATTGGTATAGGAATGAGTACAAACAAGCATCCGGTGAAGATGGATGATGAGCAGTTAGCAATGATTTCTAATCATTCAACTAGAACAAATATGGGACCTTTGTCTCTACTTTGATGCTGCTAGGGTTGAAATTGAGCAAGGGCCAACTTAAGGCTTTGATTCAAAAGGCCAACATGAACAACAGTGACATGGTGAAGTTCTTGAGTTTGTCATCGTGATTGAGCCAAGTCTCATCCATTGTTGTTGTAACATCCTAGGGATTTGAATCCAATTAACTAAGTTTAATCAGGGTAAATTAAATTATTTGACATGGTGTGTGGAGAGGGATTTAATCAATGCAATTAATTGTGATTCAGTCTTAAATATAGGTTTAAAATAAAGTCGGGTTACCTGAATATAAAATGGGGAGAAAATATGAAGGAAGTGATTTTATGCCATTTAATCATAGTACTTGGTGTGTGCCACTATGCATGATCAAAATTATTGATAAGAGTCTTGTGAACTAGTCAAATTTCAAAAGAGAGAAGAAAGGAGGAGAAAACAAAGGCACATCATTTTTTCTACTAGGGTTTGAGATTGTAGACCATGGAGCAA